GGGAGAATCGGTCAGCTGGGAGGGGGTCAGGGGGAGCGGGGCTGGTTGCGGGAGATCGGGAGGAGGAGGACGGGAGAACCAGCTGCCGGAAGCAGGGCTGGACGGGGACAGTGGGGCTAGCCAGGGGACATCGGGAGGAGAAGCGGGGGTGGGGAGCAAATCAGCTGGAGGGAAGCAGGACTGACTTGGACACATGCAGACCCGGGCTCACAAGTGAGTCCAGCCCCGGAGATTCCATTTTGACTCCCCCCCCCCCCCCCCCCCCCCCCCCCGCAGCTCCCTGCCCCAGATCACCACCTAAACCCTCTGTATTACTTCTACCCCACCTCCTGCAGGTCACAACTCCCTCCCAGACCCTGCACCCCCTTCTGCACCCTTCCCCCAGGCCAGAATCCTTTCCTGCATCAATATCCCTGCCTGACCCTGCACCCCATTCCTCTGCCCCATGTCACCTCCCAAACCCTCTGCACTCCTTCGCCCAGGTCAAAACTCCCTCCCAAACCCTGTACACCCTCCTACATCCCTTCCCCAGGCCAGAGACCTCTCCTGCACTCATAACCCCTCCTGAACCCTTCTCCCCAAGCCCCTGCCTCAGATCATCACCCTCTTCTTCACCGAAACTCCCTCTTAGACCTCACATTCCCTCCTGCACCCTAGTCCTCCATCCCAAGATCCCTTCTACATGCCACCTGCTGTCCCAGACCCTGTGCCCTCTCCACAGAAGTGTAGCCCTTGATCATCTACCAAAATCTTAGAGTGGTCTCCCATTAAAAATTATTGGCCACCATGTTCTAAACTGTTCTTTAAAACCTCCACCAATGACCAGGATTCCACAACCTCTCTTGGAAATGTTTTCCAGTACTTATGTATACTTATAGTTAGAAAGACTTCTTAATAATATTTAACCTAGATTTTGCATACTACACATTAAATCTATCTTCAGAGGACATGATGAACAACTGATCACCGGTCTGTGTTAATATGACCTGGACTCCTTTGTAACTGCATCACATTGTTGGCTCATATCCAGTTTTTTTTCAGCAGTATTATTACGTAACTAGTTATTCCCCATTTTCTAGTTTGCCATTTTGAGTTAGTGTAGTACTAGCTTTATATGACTACTGTCTGGTTTTGAACACACTCTCCTTCTTCCAATTCAGTCTTATTCTTAATAGGAAACATTTTTATGAAGCCCATGAGATTAATTCTTTTATCTTTTGAATGTGGGGCACTTAACACTGTTTTTGGAAAAACTGAGTATTTTGATGAACCCCATAATGTGAACTTTCAAAAGGTGCATCGTAACTTTGAAATGTAAAATGTTCCAATGTCAGCTTGGTCATTACAATTAATTCTTAATTATAAAGTTTACACTTGAGTAGTGCTCAGCTATAAAAATACATATGCGTACCTTTCAGAGTTTCACATTCAGGTATAAAACAAAGGTCAGTTTTCCTTGAAACAACACGAAAATTATTGCAGGAAGATTATGTCTGTTACAAATGAAAATGGCTTGGTTGTTATAATACATTCATTAGTTTATGGATCAAGAATTATGTAGGAAATATATTCATATTGTCACTGTGTGCTGTCTGTGTATGGATGTAGCTAACATGTATATAGTATAGACCATACCCTACTGACTACACATCTGAAGATCTGCTGTGTTCAAGAGTCATATTATCAGATTTTAAGAGGACTAAAGCTTTTACACAAATATGCATTAAAAAAAACCCAAATCATACCGCCATAGGGCTTCACCATCACAAACAAACATCTGTGGATCTGGAGGGTGATAGAATACCCATGGATCATAGATTAGCAATGTAATATATTGATAACATCTCAGAACGTTTTCTGGAAATATGCAGCGTGACTCGGCAAACAGGATTTGACTATGGTGAAATTCTCTAGTCTACACTGCAGATCTCCACCGTAGTCCTCACTTATTTTGCATATGAAACAATAGTGATCTAATGGGAGAACTTTCATCAATGACCATGGTCTCAATGTCCGTTGGTGTCTAATGCCTCCCTATTTCCTTCCATCTTTCCTTGTCCAGTGCAGAGTGGCTTAGTTTCTGTAGACTAACTCCACACCAATCAACTATATCATCTCCCCATTCTCTGTGGGGTCTGCCTGTCCTATTCGGACCATCCATTATGCCAAATACCATGTTCTTAACTTTTTGCTTGTTGTTCATTCTGCAGATATGCCCAAATAGCTGTAACTTCCATTTTATGACCTTCTATTTTGGCTGTATCTTCCTATATAATTCCTCGTTGGTGACCTTCTGCACCATCCTATTCTCAGGATCTTTCTATAACAACTCCTCTCAAACGCCAATATTCTTCTCTTTGAATCTTTCGTTTTCACCCATGTCCCACATCCGTATAACATGCTGCTAAATACATACGTTTTCAAGACACTCATGAAACAATAGTGATCTGATGGGAGAACTTTGGCTGCAGCTTATTAGAGTATTAGGAAAGATTCTTAAATGTTTCATGATAGGAACTATTAACTGTATCTGATTTATTAGTAAATAATAAAGAGTGCTTGTTTCTCAATCAGCAATTTCTTGATCTTCTGGCTGGTGATGAGGAGGAGCATGCTGTGCTTTTGTGTAATTATTTTCTTGCTATGGGCAAAAAAGCTTGGATAATAATCGGAAATGCTATTCCTGAGGTAAGACAATAGTTTTTGTTTGATTTGAATGTGAACATAATATCCAAACGCTTACATAAACAGAGCATAAACCAGCAAAAATGATTGTGCTCCAAGAAATAGACTGAATTTTCTCTTGAAGACAAGTAGTGATGGTGTGGGTTTAAAAATTGGGTCTGCTGGAAACCTATTCTGGTATCAGGCATTCTATTATCTTATTCTCTATTAGTTAAATATGAATCTAATAGATTTCCTTCTCCTGGATTCCATGTGTGAGTAGTGGGATATCCTCTTAGTCATCACTTTGCACAAACATAAATGATTTCACCTGGTAAAAGACATTGAGAATCATAGACTAGAACTGGAAGGGATCTCAAAAGGTCATCAAATTCAGTTCCCTGCCCTCATGGCAGGACCAAGCACCATTGAGATCAAGGCTGGGAAAAATATGGCCCACAGGTCATATCCAGTCTGCCACGCTCCCTGCCTGCCCCACACACCACACAGAAAATTAGCTGGTGGGCTGGTTTGTCTTTCAACAACGGCAGGCCTGGGGGGCAGAGATGCTTCATGAGCTGCCCCCACCCCCAGCACAATCCCATTGACCAGTTTCTGACCAATGGGAGCTGCCTGTTTGAAGCACAGGAGGCACACAAAGTAACTTTCCTTCTCCCACACCAGGCTTGTAACTATTCACAGATGCACATGGCTCCTGCAGCCTGTGCAGGGGTGTGGCAGGCATGGAACCTGCCTGAGAAACCTGGGCTGCTGGCTGGGAGTCATCCAGGTAAGACTTCCAATCAGACCCTGCCTCTAGTACCCCAGACCCTCCTTCCCCTCAACCCTCTGCCCCTCCATTCCTGTCCGCCAACCCCACATAACCCAAACCCTCTGCCCCCCTTCTGCACCCATATCCCCGCCCAGAGCCTGTACTCTAATCCCCTGCCCTGGTCACAACCCCCTCCTGCCTTAGGTCACAACTTAAACCGCTGCACCTCAGTCCCCTGCCACAGATCACAACCACCTCCTTCACCCAAATCGCCTCCCAGATTCCACATGCCTTCCTGTAGCCCCGTCCCTTGCCCCAAGCTCTCTTATGCTCCCAGCCTCCATCCCAGACCTCACCCCCCTCCATTAATATTGTGAAAGAGTGCAGCCCTTGACCACTTTCCAAAATCATGGATTGGCTTCCCCCATCAAAAATTATTGCCCACCTCTGATCATCTGTGACACATGTCTGGCTAGCCTGTTCTTAAATATTTCCAATGATGGAGATTCCACAACCTCCCTAGGCAATTTATTCCAGTGCTTAGCCAGTCTGACAGGAAGATTTTCCTAATGTCCAACCTAAACCTCCATTGCTGCAATTTAAATCAGGCTCTCTCATTCTAAAGCAATTAATTCCTTCAGCAACATGGGTCATGTTTGTCCCACTGTAGTGCTCAGATTTCTAAGCAACAAATGCGGCTGTCAATCTTCTAAAAGGTTTCCAGGCCAAACTGTCTATAACTGCCCTTGAAGACCTCCCTGAATGAAGATAACAGGCCTTATACTCCCAGACACGTAAACCCTTAGCCTAAGCAGAGTTTTACGAAACTGAGCTTGGGGAATCCTTTCCCAGGATTTCAATCCTTCTGATTGTTCTCAAACATAGCAGTGTTAGGAAGAGATTCTAGCACTCAAAATCCTTTTAATCTTGTCAAAACTTGAACCGAGGCACACAAAGTAACTTTCCTTCTCCCACACCAGGCTTGTAACTATTCACAGATGCACATGGCTCCTGCAGCCTGTGCAGGGGTGTGGCAGGCATGGAACCTGCCTGAGAAACCTGGGCTGCTGGCTGGGAGTCATCCAGGTAAGACTTCCAATCAGACCCTGCCTCTAGTACCCCAGACCCTCCTTCCCCTCAACCCTCTGCCCCTCCATTCCTGTCCGCCAACCCCACATAACCCAAACCCTCTGCCCCCCTTCTGCACCCATATCCCCGCCCAGAGCCTGTACTCTAATCCCCTGCCCTGGTCACAACCCCCTCCTGCCTTAGGTCACAACTTAAACCGCTGCACCTCAGTCCCCTGCCACAGATCACAACCACCTCCTTCACCCAAATCGCCTCCCAGATTCCACATGCCTTCCTGTAGCCCCGTCCCTTGCCCCAAGCTCTCTTATGCTCCCAGCCTCCATCCCAGACCTCACCCCCCTCCATTAATATTGTGAAAGAGTGCAGCCCTTGACCACTTTCCAAAATCATGGATTGGCTTCCCCCATCAAAAATTATTGCCCACCTCTGATCATCTGTGACACATGTCTGGCTAGCCTGTTCTTAAATATTTCCAATGATGGAGATTCCACAACCTCCCTAGGCAATTTATTCCAGTGCTTAGCCAGTCTGACAGGAAGATTTTCCTAATGTCCAACCTAAACCTCCATTGCTGCAATTTAAATCAGGCTCTCTCATTCTAAAGCAATTAATTCCTTCAGCAACATGGGTCATGTTTGTCCCACTGTAGTGCTCAGATTTCTAAGCAACAAATGCGGCTGTCAATCTTCTAAAAGGTTTCCAGGCCAAACTGTCTATAACTGCCCTTGAAGACCTCCCTGAATGAAGATAACAGGCCTTATACTCCCAGACACGTAAACCCTTAGCCTAAGCAGAGTTTTACGAAACTGAGCTTGGGGAATCCTTTCCCAGGATTTCAATCCTTCTGATTGTTCTCAAACATAGCAGTGTTAGGAAGAGATTCTAGCACTCAAAATCCTTTTAATCTTGTCAAAACTTGAACCCCAACAGAACATTTAGCCCTTATTACCAGGGAAAGGCCTGAAACCCAGGAAGGTAGGTTCCATGAGTCATTGGGAAGGTAAAAGAATGCTAAGCGCAACGAGCTGCGTATCGGGAAGTGCAGTTGGGATAAGTAAAAGAGCTATCTAAGGCCGCAGTGTGCGAGAAAGGTGGGTGCTACAAAGGGAAGAGGTGTGTCTGGGACAGCTGCTTGGAGAGGGGATTTGTGGTGAAGCAGAGGGATGGCTGGTGTTGGTAAGGCCAGTGCTCTTGCCCTACCTTGCCTTGTTCTTTGTCTTGATGATGTTTCCAGTACCTCCCCTTCCAGCTGGCTGTTCATCTGGCTGGGATCCTGCAGAAGCAGGGCAAGAGGAGGTAAAGAAGAAACCCAGTAGTGTTGGGCAGAACAGTGGAGTTATTTCTGAGAAATCCCTTTAGCTCTGCTGGAATGCATGTATTTCCAGCATGGCTCTAGGAAGATATGGGATTCTCAAATGTGTATGTTGTGCCATATTCAGCACAGTTGCCGTGCTTATTAGTCTTTCACTCAGACCTACTTTTTACATACTGGTTTAACATTTTTTTTCTTTAAATGAATGATATAAAGATGTGTTCTGATCCTTACCTGAAGTTGTTTCTGTAAAAGGCACTACAAGCAGAGTATCTGTTAAAATGAATGCCAAAACTTTCCTCAGAAATTACTGTGTTGTGCCAAGGGTATTGTAGGGTCCCTTAAAAGTTGCTAACTTTACTGCCGTATACCTGTTATACAACCTAATTTGAGCCTAAAAACTGTACTACTTTGTATGTTTGTGTAAAATTCATTCAAATTGGTAGTTACCAAAAAACATTACTCAGGCTGATTGATAACCTCTATGGGTATGTCTACACTACCCACGAGGAGTACAGATAGTTCGGAATGGCTACGTAGTTCGAACTATCTAGCCCGTGCCGCATGTAGCCGCGCGGCACGGGGTTCACACTAGCCGGCTTTTAAAAATGGCGGCGCCGGCTTTATGCTAATGAAGCCCAGGAAATTCAAATCCCGGGCTTCATTAGCAAGTTCGGTATGCATACATTACCCCGCTAGTTCGAACTAGCGGGGTAGTGTAGACATACCCTGAGCTGTCCAAGTAGTTAGGACCAAAGAAAATTTTCCTCTGTGTTCTGCTTCCCCAGAGAATGTTAGGCTCTCTTTCAAAATTTTCTTTCTTTGCCATAGGTTTTGTTTTTACTTTGGGGTTGATCTGTATATAGTTGGGTTTGTGGATCTCTTGTTGTTTGTGTTCTTTCTGTGATAAGTGTCTCCCTTGATCAGTTGGTGGCTTTAAGCTAATTCCTAGGAAACTAAATGCTTGCTGACAGCAAAGGCATTAAGGATTTGAGTGGATATGGAGACTTAACTAGTTTCTCAGTCTCAGACATCCAGCACAAGGATCAGGCTCACTGACTGGGCAGTGTGGAAAAGTATGCCCTTGCTGTGATTGATTGTTCTATGGGTAAATAGAGAACTTCACTTTATTATACTCTCTATAAGACAATTTTAATCTACACTTAATTTGCTTGAAAATTTACAGGTAAGTTGTCTTTTTTATATTAGTTTTTAAAGTGTCGGAGAGGAAGGGTTATTTGTGCAATCCTGATGTAAGCTAAAGGAAAACTACACACCACTTTAGGGGCTTAAAGTTATTTGAACAGTGTTTATGGTGGTTGAATTGGATGAGTTGGCTGTTTGAAGAAAACTACTCCAACCAGCTAGACAGTGTTTCTGAAAGTGTTCTGCAGAATCACTTTGAGAAACGCATTAACTGGCCGCCCCGGTTTGTTTATGTACCGGTGCCGCAGCCACAGAGCTTCGTGGCTCCCCAGTCAAGCGGAGCAGTGGGAAGTGGTGGCCCAGCCCACGCTGTTTCCCGCGGCTCCCCTTTGCTGCAAAGGACTAAACGGAGCCAATTGGAGACGCGAGGCTCCGTGGCTATGGCACCTGTAAATAAACAAACAAGGGGGTGGCCAGTTAATGTGTTTCTCAGAGTGATTCCATGGAATATTTTCAGAAACACTGAGCTAGAGTAAAATGGATCAAGTGTGAAATTTTGTCAGTGACTTCGATAATAAAATAGGTAGCGAGCGGCCTGTAAAATAAAACATTATCTTTTGAAAAACATTTTATAAAAGTTTGGCTTATCTTTTTCTTCCTAGGGGCCAACTGCATATGTATTAAGCTGGGAGCAACATCAGTACGTGATTTGGAATCCCAGTAATGGACGTTGTTACGGACAGTTTGACACTTTCTGTCCATTGCAAAGTGTGGGCTGTTTGATTAGCTTTGATAATGTAAGTGTTTCCTATCTTTTCCTTCTCATCCTCTCATACACAAAGAAGATGGTACTATGTTTGTCAGCCCCTTCCTTAGCACCTTAACCTCTGCTGTATCAGTGCAAATACACTTCATATTAGTGGTCCATATTATGAAAGTGATCTATTCCATTTTTGCATTAGGTGTCCAGCAACTTTAAAAGTCCTGCTTTAACTATTGTATAAAACAGATTTTTACTATCGTTCAAACAATCATAAATTATAAAAATGCGTATATATAAATATATATATACCCAACCAATTGCATTAATCTACCTACTTTTGCTGAATGTATTTGGTTAACCTTGTGTCAAACAGCAGGAAGAGCAGCCTATGATAGAAGCAAATCGACATGCTCTCTGCAAAGCAATATTGTGACTCATAAGCTACAAAAATGTTTAAATATATTAACAAAATAATTGATAACAAAACAGAATAATCCTTTATTTGAACTTTCAGAAATCTTTTGACAAAGTCTGTGGCCAAAAGCTTGTGAGAAGACTTAAGAGTCATGAAAGGACTATGGTAAATTGAAAATTAGCTGAGACGTTGACAAAGAATAGACTGAGTCAGTTTTCAACACTGCAAAAAGTCAACAGTGAGGCCCCATGGTTCCATATAAGGATAGTGTTTACTATAATCATTGTTTCTTTTCCGGTATGTGCACTGAGGTGACCTAATTGGCAGATGACTCAAAATGATTTGAGTTAGTCAAGACTAGTGAAAATTGAGGAACTTCAGAAAGAAAGGGAGGTGATTGTGCAGCACTTTGGCAGACTGAAATCAGTGGTGACAAATTTAAAGTAAAGCACACTAGAGGTAATGCTAGGAGTGGTTCCTACATGGTGCTGGACATTTTCATGACCAGTGCAGTGAGCACCTCTGCTCGATGTGCAGCAGTGGTCAAACAAATAAAATATTAGGATCCATAAGGACTGGTAGAAAATTATAGTGAAAAATACAATGCCATTATATAAATGGCTAGTCTGGTTAGTAGAAGATGTTCTAGTTTCCCTTTTCTGATAATATAAAAAAACCCAGAGAGTAGTCAATGAAATTAAAAAGCAACCATTTAAAATTTGCTAAATAGAAATAGTTGTTTTATTCAGCATATAATTAACTCTAACTTGTGGAATATTTCTCCGGTACATCATTGAAGTCAAGACTGGATAATGTTTTCTGAATCAACACACACAGCTACAGTAACAATGATTTAAAAAATGTTATAAATATTCCTTTTTAATAAAAACCCAGGGATGAAAACCAGACACTATGTGATGGGCTTCATTTATGGACAGATTATTCTGCAGTTTTTCATTGTAGGGTTTCTTTCTCGTGCACTAATGTATCTAGTGCTCGACACGTTGGAGAGCAGAATTAATTAAATGAAGCACTGATCTGATTTGGTCTGGCAAATTATATGTTCCTAAGCTTTAAAATCCCTACAATATTGCTTCTGCATATGATGCTTAAAGTGCAAAATTTAAAACATTGAATTGCACAGTCAAAAACAAACTTTTATAAGAATTTCTGGAAAATGTATCAGAAAAGTCAGTTGTTTGAAGTTGTGTATTACATCCTATGTCTCTTCATTTTTAACCTTTTTAAATTTAAAAAATGAAGGAGAGAATCTAAGGTTTGAAATTATTTATAATTGGTAGTCACCAACCAGTTGATTGCAATCAACTGGTCGATCCTGGGGAGTCTCCTAATTAATCGCAATCAGCAGGCTCCCTCCTTGCCCTGGCCTCATGCTGCTGACTGTTCCTGGGAGGGACCAGGGCAGCCCCATGTGTATGATGGGGGAGAGGTATCAGCAAGCTGATCCTGCCTTTAAGGACTCCCTCGTGCATATCCCATTTGCCAGGAATGGGAAATTATGGCCAATGGGAGCTGAGGGGGTGGTTTTGGCAGAGAAGGGCGGTTCTTTACAGCCACAGCTGCATTGCCTGAGGGCTACCTGCGGTAAGTGCTGCCTCATGGGCATAGGCACAGGAAGTGGGGCTGCAGCACTACCAGGTTTTGCGCCAGGGTCCCGGATGCCATTCCCACTGCTGCCTAGGGGTTATGCTTCTGGTCCCACTCCACTGCCTGCCTGGCATTCCGCACAGCCACTGACCCCAGGGGTGCTACGGCCCACCCTGCACACATGGCTCTGCTCGCTCCGGGGTCTCAGCCGCCAGCCCCAGAGCTAGCAGCCCAAGCCTGCTTCTGCACCACTAGCCCTGACCCTCCTCTCAGAGCCAGCACACCATGCCCCCTCCTACAACCCAGCCACCTGCCATAACCCTGACCCCCCTCCCAGAGCCAATACCCATGCTCCCTCCCAAACCCCTAACTTTCTGCCCCAGCATGGTAAAAGTGAGGAAGAGTAGGGGAGAGCAAGTGGGGGGTGGGGAAAAGGGATGGAGTGGGCAGGCCAGATCCTGGGTTGCTCAAATTCAGAAACTATTCTTGGGCAGATAAAGGTTGGGGAACCACTGATTTATATAATAATGAAAATGGCATCCCAGTGATCCCTTTCTGGAAGTTACATCTTTCATTGGAAGTCATGTGTTTTGATTTATTTCATGGTGAACTTTTGTGGTGGTGGTGAACTGTGCAGCCTTAATCAACTGTAATATATTGCAGTTAACATATCAGATTCTTTATACAGAGTTGAGGTGAGTGACTGTACAGAAAGGTTCTTCTTTCATGTTAATTTAGATGGGAAACTCCTACTATAGGTCTGAAATATAGTGATGACCTGTGTCAGTACCATTTGCATTGAAAAGCTGTGATACATGTTACATGGCTGTTACTTTTAACAAAGTGCTTCTCTTTTAGATCTGGTTTAATATCCAACGGTATGAGTCCCCAGTAAGGATAAATTTTGACATCAGCAAACCCAAACTATGGAAACCTTTCTTTTCACAAAGCTTACCATATCCTGGCCTCTCCAGTGTCCAGGTATTATTGTACTTACTTAGACTTATTTTGAAGTTTAAAAATATGTGCAGATTTTTTTCTCTCATTTAGTGTACATCTTTATCTTGCACTTTAAGGATAAACATTTTTGTTGGTATATTAGTACAGCAGGTCAACCATACCTCTGTAATAATGAGGTCTTTACACTTATTCCTGGGGGAATTTTGGGCCATTCTGCACATGCAGAATTCATGCCCTCCACAGATTTATTTGCTTCCTTTTATAAAATTAACTTCTGATAAGGAAGCAAAAGGAAGACGCAAGAGTGGTCACACATTCCTCCCCACCAGTGTGGGTGTGTAGTTTCAGGCACCTGGAGCAACCACCAGAGTGGTAAATCACCATGGGATAGGGATGGTGAACACTGTGGGCAGTAGCCCCTACCTTGTGCTGGACTCAGCTGCTAGTCCCGGCTAGATTGGGGCAGAGGAAGACAGGACTTCGTCTGCAAGGGGTAGCCAAGGCTGCAATCAGACCTATCCTCAGAAACTCCACAAACCCTGGATTCCTGCCCTTCTTCACTCCTACTCCTCACTCAGCTGTGGGGGAGCAGTCACTATAGGAGGCCCAACTCCCATGCACCTAGACATTCTCCCATATCCTGGAGCCCCTGGTGAACCTTACCCCACCACATATACCCAGTACCCCCTCACCAAGCCCCTGGCAACCATGTCCCACCCCAACAAGCTTCATCCTCTGCATCTGGGCCAGTACTTCAACACCCAAACCATCTGCCACTGAACCCCCACTGAACTCCCTTGCACCCCACCACCCAGTGAGCCCCCACGCCTCTGAGCCCCAACCAACTGAATCCAGGTCTCCACTAAGCGCTCAGACCCTCCCCTTCCCAGCCCCAACCACCTTCACCTGGAGCCCCCCTAGAGTCCCATTCCCCCTGCCCCTGGAACTCCCTAACAAACAAGCCCCTGTGCATTCAGATTCTTCCTGCACCCAGACTCCCCACTGAGCCACCCAAATTGCCCCACAGAGTGGGGGGGCCAGCATTGAGCATGAGCCTAGGCCTCTTGCTTGTTATCTTAGTGCAATGGGCCTAGAGGAGGAGGAGCAGCAGAGTGTTTTGGGGCCAGGCCCAGCCCTTTTACTGTCAGGGTCAGATGCAGTCTCACTGCTGTCTGTGGTTGGGCAGGGCTGTACAGTGTTCTCTGACCTGTGCTGTGTTTTTTACTGCCATGCTGGAACTTCCACATTTATTGACAAAGATGTAGAAAAGTTTTGTGCAGTATTCCCTCGGGAGCATACAGGACAATATATCTAATACAGTAGTATGCCCTCTAATTTTTTCCATCCATGTGCAGAATTAATTTTGTTTTGTGCAGTGAGGCATGCATGAAACCCATGCTATTGGTTGTGGCCCTGCTCAGTTCACAGGGAACAGTGCAAGTGGCAGTATTTTTTAATGGATCTGGTTTCATTCAGACTGGATCTCGTGTCATTCTGAAAAAACGCATACATATGATCTAAAGCAGGGGTCAGCCACCTTGTGCTGCTTCCTGCAGCTCCCATTGGCCTGCCAGCAGCTTACCCTGAAGGGCCAATTTGTGACAATTCTCTGTTGAGTCACAAGTGAAATCCAGTCAACTGAAGGAATCTAAGGAAGCTGTCGAATTTATCTTTAAAATGTGAAGAGGCCAAGTTCATTTCATTTCTGACCCTAAGTGTGTGCTCTTTATCTTATCCACCTATAAACATCGGTGGGTGAAATCTACTGTCAAACGAGACAGAATAACTATGTACAAAACTCTTCACAGCTAAATGTTTTTCAGGAATTCATTTTTCTGTTTCTCATGTAATACATGGTGAAACATTATGGCTATGTCTAGACTGGCCAGTTTTTCTGGAAAATCAGCTGCTTTCTACAATTTGCCAGCTGTCTACACTGGCCACTTAAATTTCCACAAAAGCACTGACTTTTTGCAGAAATACTATGCTGCTCCCGTTCGGGCAAAAGTCCCTTTTGCGCAAAACTTTTGCGCAAAAGGGCCAGTGTAGACAGCTCAGATTTGTTTTGCACAAAAAAGCCCCGATCGCAAAAATGGCGATCGGGGCTTTTTTGCGCAAAAGCGCATCTATATTTGCCAGGGATGCTTTGCCACAAAAAGTGCTTTTGCAGAAAAGCGTCCGTGCCAATCTAGACGCTCTTTTCCGAAATGCTTTTAATGGAAAACTTTTCCGTTAAAAGCATTTCTGGAAAATCATGCCAGTCTAGACATAGCCAAAGGGTCTAATCTCATGCCCACTGCTTTTAATTAGGAAAAATTCCAATAGAGGTACATCGGTGTCAGTGGAAAACAAGTCCTGTGTTATCTGTTATAACAAGTCTTACATTCTAAGCGGTGTTTTAATCAATTATTTATTTTTATTAGCCTGAAGAATTAATTTACCAACATACAGACAAGGCTGCTGCATTAGAACTGCAGGGCAGGTAAACTTTGCTTTTATAACTATGCATGTTAAACCCTGTGAGCAGAAGCTCCAGCACCTGATTCACCACCAAAGAATTGAACATTCACTGACCTTTTCCCATCTAATCCAATTTGTAAGGAGCTGCAATTGAAAAAGTATGACCACATCTCACACTTAAGGGATCAAAAAGCCACTTGAGCATGCTTTAGTCAGGGTGATTGCTACCATTACAGTATCTATGCATTAAGTACTACACAGAGATCTTAAACATCAGTCTTCAAATGTGATTTTTGAAGGGTTTTTTTGTAAACCAGAACACCAGTGGCATTACTGCTGTTGTGTTTATCTTTGAACTGCCTTTGGAACAGTAGAGATCTTACTACCTTAAGAATGCCAGTGCTTTCTACAATTTTGATAGCATGTATAAAAAAACAAGGTTGAATTCTTTTCAGAATGAGTCATCCAAAATTGTGAAGCCAGAATAATCACACCTTGAATAATTAACTGGTAAGGCAATTATAACAAGCAGTTATATTTTATTGCAGGATCGAAAAGATACTGAAAGAGAAGATTATGGAGTGGAGACCAAGGCATCTAACACGTTGGAACAGATACTGTACCTCTGCACTTCGTCATTTCCTGCCTCTTCTGGAACAGTTCCAAGGAAAAGCTGTAGAAGATGACCATCAGACAGAACTACAAAAACAGCTGGGAGATTACAAGGTATTTATTTATAAAGAACTCCTATGTAGAGTTTATGTAATGAAAATAGTAGGTGTAATAGTGCACTATGAGGAACATTAATAAATCAAATCACTGGTGCTTAATTAAGAAGGTCACTTAATATCAGAAGAACTGTCATAATGTGCTATGCCTTTGGTACAAGACCAGTATACACTGTCACCAGCAGCCAATATTAGATGCTTAACAAGGCAACAAATAAATATTAATCTGCCCTAATGAGCTTAGACTAGTCTGTTGTCCTAGAGCTGGAGTTAAGATTCTTTCCACTGCTCTGGAAAATTTATTTTGTAAAGTTTGAAACCGTTTTGAAGTGATTGATAATAAGCCAGGCTTTGGGGGGGCCCTTTGTTTGGTTCAGCTGACGGAGAAAATGTAAACATCAGAACCTTGCCCAAAAAAGAGCTTATGCTGACTGCTCCAAAGCAGTTTCCCTCAAAACTTTTTATTCAGGCTGTCAATCAATTTACAAAATTGCAATTAATCACAATGCAAAATAATGCCATTTAGCTGTTCAATGTTTTATGTTTAAAATATATATGATTTCAATTACCACACGATACAGTGCTCACTTTTTGATTTGCATTTTAAAAAATAGTGTTTTTCAATTCACCTATAACAAGTACTGTAGTTGAATCTCATGAACGTTGAACTCACCAAGGATGTTAAATATCGAGTATTTATTAGTCAAGTAGTTGACTAGACGATGGAAATTGCATCAATAGGCACTTCTGCATTCCTCCTTTGAAATGTACAAGAGCCGCCACTTGGCTCCTTCAAAGGAGGAATGCAGAACTCTACATGCAGCCCGGGACTAGCAGGAAGTCCCGCTAACTCCGGGCTGCAGGCAGCATACTAGCTTTGAAATGTACAAGAGTCCCCCACTGACTCTGGGCTCCATGCTGCACTGCCGCTTTGAAATGCCATGCGGAACCTGGGATCAGCTGGAGACTCCCCACTTGACCCCAGGCTCCACGCAGTATTTCCATGAAACCCGGGATCAGCTGGGGAGACCACAGCTTACGCCAAGCCCCATGCAAACCCCATGGTGGCGTTTCAAAGGGGCAGCATCACACAGCTGATCTTTGGGTCAGCTGTGCGGTGCTGCCCTTTGAAATGCCACAGGGAGCTGACTCAGGGCTCCATGTGGTGCTGCCCCTTTGAAACACCTCCACAGCATTTCAAAGGGGCAGTGCTGTAGCTTTGAAGTACCTCCCTTTCTCCCACTTTGCTGCCTCTGATAGATGGAGCAAATAGGAACAGTTAACTGTGTAACCAATAGAATTTTTATTGGTTACATTTTTTTTTTTTTCAATTTTTACACCCTTAGTCAAGTGTTGTAGCTATCTTTGGAAATCTCAGTTAGTACCTTGAGTTTTGTCAGACCTGATGTGAAAGTGTTCTTAAAATGAACACCATGGACTGGGTCATCACCTGAGACTGCTATAATATGAAATATATGGCAGAATGCAGGTAGAACACAGAGCAGGAGATACATAATTCTTCCCCCAAGGGAGCTGAGTCACAAATGTAATTTACTTTATTTTTTAAATGGGCATCATCAGCATGGAAGCATGTCTTCTGGAATGGTGGCTAAGCACCAAGGAACATACACATTTTTAACAAATGTGTTAAAAACGTAATACTTTGTGAATGCCTGTTCTCATTTTCAAGTGACATTGCAAATAAAAAGCAGGTGGTACTATCTCCTACAAATAGGCGTGTTCTCTTAACAATTGGCAGAACTAAAAGAGGAACTGAGTGGCACTTGTGGACTCTACAGTTTTACACTGTAATATAACTGCACTCAAGCAATGTATATTCCTAAGCTGCACTTTCACAGTAAAAGAGATTGCACTACGGTACTTATCTGAGGTAAACTGAACAATACTATTATCATTTTTACAGTTGAAATATTTGTTAAACGTATAAAATGAGTAGTGTACACTTGGTATTCTGCGTTGTAACTGAAAATATAGAAAAACATCCCAAAATATTTGCTATTGTTTAGCAGTGCGATTAACTTGTGATTGATCACCATTTTAACTCAAATAAGTTAACCAGTTTTAATCTGGCAATTAATCCATAATCCTACGTGTTTTAGACAAAGCACATAACTCAGAATAGCCCCAATAGGCTAACAATTTTCCTAGTAACTGCCAATAATTCATTTTTATTAGCAGAGCATTTCTAGTCATAATAATAAAGTGTCACAGGCATCTAAACTCACGGTCAGCTGTCCAAACAGTCGGGTTTTGATAGCAAAACTGCAAGCATGCAGAGCCTTGCCTCACAGGATCCCAAAAATTATTTTGTAGATAAGTGACATTTGGTTTTCAAGTGTCAGTAGTTGACCATATAAGATGGTGCACTAAAGTACAGGTTGTACCTCCCTTAACTGGGACTCTGGTCAGTCCAGCAGAGCTCAGGTATAGGGAGGTCGGGCTGTGGGGCAGGATCAGGAGGGGGCCTACACACTCAGTTGGGAGCCAGAGGGCAAGGCAGAGAGGCATGGACGGTGCATCAGGGCGCTCTGGCCCCTCTGTTGTAGACAGTTGAGAGACCCAGGGCGCTCTGTCCCTGGCTGCAGAGCTCCAGCCCCAGCCAGGTAGGCAGCAGCAGGGCTAGACTGGAGCCCTAGCTGTGGGCATCAGAACACCACAGGCCATATTGGGTGGGACCTCCTCAGGACCAGCAAATCACCTTGTTTGGGACCGGTCCAGATACTGAGGGTGCCAGATAAGGGAGTCCAACCTACACTGTAAAATTCTTGAAGTTAGTCAGGAGGGACATTCCTTTTAATGTGAAGTAGCCAAGTTATTCATCAGGAAATAATCTTGCCTCAGGCCAGTTATAAGTGCTCTGTCAAAGTAAAGCTGAGTTTCCATCCATAGTGAAATTACGTGCAATAGCCATAATTGTAGCTTTTTAAATTTCCCTCCTTGGTGTAACACACTTCACTTCATGAGAAAGAAACTGTAATGTCTCACTAATGTTTTTTTCTCTCTAACTTCTCCCCCCAGGTTACTGGATTTCCTATTCATATGCCATTTTCTGAAATTAAACCTTTAATAGAAGCTGTACATAGTACTGGAGTCCATAACATCGACATTTCAAATGCAGAATTTGCTCTAGCGGTATACGTTCATGCTTATCCCAACAATGTTCTCTCTGTGTGGATTTACATTGCTTCACTTGCACGTAATAGATAAAAAAAAAAGTCTATGCTGGAATAAAGGCATTAAATGAGACAGCAACACCATGTCAGAGAAATGTTTTGCTGTAAAAAAAAAAAAATCAGTTTTATGTAAAGGATTTCTTTTGAGTATTGCTCACACCCCCACCAGGGAAGATGAAACAAAGCATATTAGCATTCTGGGTATTGCCGGGGCAGATATTTTGAGCATTGCAGTCCTTGGTTTGTGCCTACATAAAAAATCGTGTACATGCTGGCGCTTGTCTCCATATTCTATGAAACATTCCATATGGGGTGGAGCTGTTCTCCAGTTTGTACAGAGCTGAGAGAATAAAATGCTAGTATAGTGGCAGCCCCTACCCTCTGGCTTCCCAGAGATGTTAATTGTAGACATAGCTTCACCCGCTTTCCCATCCAGGCACAGTCTCAACAGCTTGGGTTAAAAATAAGAGGAGAAGTCTACCTACCCCCTTTCAGCTAACATTAACCTGTATGCATCCTCTGTTGTTGGCTCTCCAGTGAAATTACTTCCGTTAAGAGACTAGTGAACAGCTTGGACCGGTGCTATTCCTTATCCTTCCATGACTACATTGGCTCAATTAAATTAATTAGTGTGTATGAAAGAATCAGGCACTTGAAGAATTGTTATGTTTGTTCTTTTAGTAGTAGTATTCTTCACAGAAGTTACTGCTAAACATAATGGCATCTTTCACACAAAAATAGTAACAGAGCAGAATTACTCTCATAAAACTTCATAGGGGTGAGGGCTGTTTCTGCACTAACAAATGCTACCTTTTTTTATGAGAAACATTTCAGGAGCGATCACTATATGAAGTGTATAAGAGTTTTTTAGGTCTAGTTTGCTTCTTTTTAAAAAAAAGTTATGTCTTTGCAAGTATTTCACAAAAAAAGTTAATGGTAAAGTATCTTTGTAGAGATTGAACCTCAGGTCTGGCGATATCCATGGTCTGGCATGATTTTAGTTAGCCAGATGTCCACGTATCATGGGTGTGGCTAAGCTTCCTGCCGTTCCATAAAGTTTCTTATAACCATTAGTCCTGGCTCTCAGCATTCTGTGCTGTTATTTAGCTCTAATTCACCCCCTGAATGTCTTCTAAGAGCCCACTTAGCAGTGGAAGTGTTGGTAATGCTGCTATACAATACTGACCTCCTGTGGTTCAGCAAATTTTCTGATTCAGTGCCAGTCAGGTCCCGAGGGTGCCAGATTAGAGAGGGTCAACCTGTACAAACATTCCCTGCAATTTAATACTTTACCATGAGCAGAGATGAAGTATTTATCCGTCACTGGACAGATATAAAAATTACTAATTTAAGGCAGTTACCAAAAAAGCTATGGTCACATTTCCCCATCTCCACTCCTACATGGATTTGTTAATGCCATCCTCATTACAAAATCAAAGTTACTTTTTTTAACCAGAATTCCTAGAAATGGCTCTGCATATTCCGATACTCTGGTGCTTTCCAGTAGTACCTTCTTCTGGCAGAGTGGTCCCCATCCTATTGCCCTTAAAACATGAGCAAGCATGAGAAAAGGCTAGATGGGGCACAGTACCATCACCATCTCAGTTTCTTCCACAGCAAATTCACACTAGGGACTGCAGATCCGAAGGGATACCTAGAGACTGCAGAGGTGCTGCAAAAATATCAACAATTTAAAAAAACCCTCACCTCAAATCTATAGTTAGGGGTGACTAGAGGGCACATGGGGTCATATGCTCCCTTCCCAGATTTCTGCCTTCCATTAGGCCCTGGTTTCTGAAGTGATGCTGTAGCACAGCAGAGCAGTGGCATGTCTTTTTGACTAGCTATTGCCTGCTCAATCACAGTTAGGCAACAGATCTCTCTTCTGCAGTGGAGTACACCAAGTTGTACTCCTCCAGGAAATCTGCAGGGCTGCATGAGCCAGGAATGCGGCCAAAGATGCTTACGCTCATGTGGAGTACACAGTTAGTAGTGTGGAGGGATCTTGGCCAAACAGTAACAAGTGCAGATGCACACGGTGATCCAGGAGGATATACACTGTCCCTTTACCCGACCCACCGTTACGAACAGTTAAAATGTCTTATGAAAAGGCTTGGTCCATTTGACGTAGAATGCTAGTGCACATCTCATGTCAAGGGAGTGCAGGCGTTCCAATGAGGGTTAGGGTAGAACCTGTGTGGAAGCTGGAGACCCACCTTTGGGAGAACATCCACGTGAGGGCAAAGCTGATCCTTCTTGTGAAAAACAGGGTATAGAGGCTCCGAAGTGCTGAGACCCTGCTAGCAGAGTTGATGGCAACCAGGAAAATCACCTTCCAAGACAAACAGAGCAAGGAGCATGTAGCTAATGGCTCAAATGGGGGACACATTAGAGCAGAGGACAAGAAAAGAGGGCAGGTTGTGCTGGAGGATGAAGCCCATCCCTCTCCTTGAAAAATGCCCAGCTAAGGGACTCAAGAACACTGCCACCTGCTTCCCCTGGGTGAAAGGCGGAGATAGCCACCAGATGCAGGCAAAGAGGTCACCAGGCCTTGTTGCTCCAAGGATACCAGATAGTCAAGCACTATAGCATGGAGGTAGAGAGAGGATCCAAGTTGTGCTGTAGGCACCAGCATGAAAACGGTTTCCATTTGGCCAGGTACATAAGTCTGGTACATTTGGTTCTTTGCTGCTTGGAGCCACAGGTGCTGAAACTTTTTGACCTTGGATCTGCTGGGGAATTCCTACAGGAATATGAGCTACAGGTCATTCTCTCTCTTCCTATAGGTTCTGGGTTTGCCAGAATGAAGATCCAAATAGCAAACCATCTTCTCCCAGGCACTGAATGTGGTTGGTGAATGCCAGTAAGATGGACAACCATCTTTAAATCCTGGCTTTTAATATTTTTTCCATTTCCACTGTAATCCAAAAATGAAAAGCACAAATAGCCAAACAGCACTAAGAAAAAAGCAGCAGCTCTGGCAAGATTAAAGGGTCACATCATTTTGTGGCACAGAGTTGGGAGGGACTGAAATGTTTATCCTTGCCCTCAGAACATTGGTGATGCTGATGGAAGGGACAAGGACTCAAGAAAGCTCTAGCCAACAGGCCCTAGAAGGCTCAGAGAATGGTGAAAATCCTTTCTGAGAATTCATATTTTTAAATATTCCTGCTAAACTAGCTGTAATGAAGAACAGAGACTCTAAATAATTGAACCTACAGATGAAAGGAAATGAGATCAGAACCCAGACACTGACTAAAACAAGAACATATTCATCAGAAATAAACCAGGCCAGTCAAGAAGCGAAGGATAGCAATTTTAACTAACAGTACTACAGAATCTAAAGGAAAGAGATGTAAAAATCCATCTCCCTGCCAATACAAGATTTTAGGACCCACTATGTTGCCTGATATCCTCCAATAGCACTTGATTACAGATGCTCCAGAGAAGGCACTAGTATGTCCAAAATGGATAATTACAGAATAAACGAGTTCTTCCCACTCCCAAGGTCCCCATGCCATCCTGCACTGCTGCCTCCAACACAGAAGCAGTAGTGAACGGCAACAGCAGCCAGATGCTGCTCTGGCAACCTTCACAGAGCAGCTTCTGTCCGAGCAGCAGCATGGAGAGGCAAGTGGCTCCACTAGAGCAGATAAGCACGGGAATCTGGTTTGAAAGGAACCTTCCCACATGTACCAGCTCCAGCCTGCCCCCTCACCCTCCCACCATGCTGCCTCTCTCTACCAGAGGCTTATTGGTTAATTGTTCAAACATCTACATGCTAACATGCCTAGAAATGTCCACGATAACGCCAAGATCTCTTTCCTGATTTGTCGTAGCCAAATTAGCCCCCATCATACTGTACGTGTAGCTCGGGTTATTTTTCCCGATGTGCATTACTTTACACTTATCCACATTAAATTTCATTTGCCATTTTGTTGCCCAATCACTCAGTTTGGTGAGATCTTCTTGGAGTCCCTCACAGTCTGCTTCTGTCTTGAATATCCTAAACAGTTTTGTATCATCTGCAAACTTTACTACCTCACTGCTTACCCCTTTCTCCAGATCATTTATGAATAAGTTGAAAAGGATTGGTCCCAGGACTGACCCTTGGGGTACACCACTAGTTACCCCTCTCCAATCTGAAAATTTACCATTTATTCCTACCCTTTGTTTCCTGTCTTTTAACCAGTTCTCAATCCAAGAAAGGACCTTCCCTCTTATCCCATGGCCATGTAATTTACACAAGAGCCTTTGGTGAGGGACCTTGTCAAAGGCTTTCTGAAAATCCAAGTATACTATATCTACTGGATCCCCCTTGTCCGCATGTTTGTTAACCCCTTCAAAGAACTCTAATAGATTAGTAAGACAGGATTTCCCTTTACAGAAACCATGTTGACTTTTGTCCAACAAATTATGTTCTTCTACATGCTTCACAATTTTATTCTTTACTATTGTTTCGACTAATTTGCCCGGTACTGAAGTTAGACTTACCGGTCTGTAATTGCCAGGATCGCCCCTTTTTAAATATTGGTGTCACGTTGGCTACCTTCCAGTCATTAGGTACAGAAGCTGATTTAAAGGATAGGTTACAAACCACACATAATAGCTCAGCAATTTCCCATTTGAGTTCTTTTAGAACCCTTGGATGAATGCCATCCGGTCCCGGAGATTTGTTAACATTAAGTTTTTCTATTTGTTCCAAAACCTCCTCTAATGACACTTCAATCCAGGACAGTTCCTCAGATTCATCACCCACAAAGGACGGTGCAGATTCAGGAATCTCCCCAACGTCCTCAGCCGTGAAGACTGAAGCAAAGAAATCATTTAGTTTCTCCACAATGGCTTTATCGTCCTTGATTGCTCCTTTTATAGCTCGATCATCTAGGGGACCCACAGGTTTTTTAGCAGGCTTCCTGCTTCTAATGTACTTAAAAAACATTTTATTTCTTTTTGAGAAATAACATGATTTTTTTTGAGAATATAACGATTGCTCAAACACTAGACCACACTGATGTCTTCAGAATTACTGCCTGCCAGCACCAAGGCATTATTAAATTATCGTTCCATCCACCTACATTTAACATGTGGTTTTAATGAAGAAGCCAAAGAAACTTCCGTTTACTTTATTTGAACTACTTGCCAAGGGTAAGGGAGGCCTCCTTCAAACCTTAGGTACTCGCAACACACAGCAAATAAATACAGAACATAAATACAGTGTATTTATTAATGCTTTATCTTTTCCTGTAACACTAATAAAAATGTATAGATCTTGTTTGTAACAGAAGATTTGGTTCCTACCCTGACTCCAATATACACTTGTCAACTACTGGACTCCCTGTATTCCAATTCATGTAGATTATTTATCACCATCAAAGTCCTCAAAGCTCTGTTTATTTTATATTTGTTTATAACATTAAAAATTTAATTATTTGAAAATCCCTTTCAAAATTCACCATCTTAACAGGTTTTATAATGGGAGATGATTGAGGCCGCTCTGTAAATACAGTACATACACAAATGATTTATGGAGTCCACTGCATAAAACGGGCAGTATTAATTGGTCTGACACTGTACATTTTGACATTACATTTTAAAAATATATATTTCAAATGCTAGGTAAAACTGTGGTGTGAATGGGAATGTTTTATTTGAATATACTTTTCAAGCCCAAATACAAAATCAATGCTATAGGAAAGG